GCCATACGCGCAATTCGCAATGCTCAGGTGAAATGCTATAGTAATACTATAAATCTGCGGAAGCATTTGATATCACGCATAAGGCGCCATGATTTCTGCAATGAATGAATGGCGGATGGTGCGGCGCACTTTTTTGTTCACTACACACATACTAAAGCACGGATGACGCTTGCGGTGTTTTCATTTTCTGCCATATCACTATATGATGATATGAACACGATTGTCATCTCCAGCTGCTATGAGAGTCACTTCATTAGCATTTAACGTTTCATTTGAGAAATCTACTGTCATATCACATACACAGCAGCTGGAAGTTCTTCACGGCAACCCGTCAAAAGAAAAGTTTAGTTTAATGTTAACTCAATGCTACTACTGCTAATAAATATTAATAAATCTTTATTTTTAAAGGAATAATCACATCTGTTTTCTGTTTAATTTTAACAGTAAACCTCTGTTGTGCAGCACTTTGTTTGCCAAAAAATAAAAGGGTTTAATTTTCATTTGATTAGGATAAATTAAATTAATGTTTTATGCCTTCATCTGATTACCAGAAAAATTAAGAACATTTTATAGGGCCCTATTATTGTTTAAAAAAGGACCCTATACAAAAAAAGGATAGGTTTAAAATACAGGCATGTGGTTCTTAATTTCTTTTGATTAATTCACCATTTGTAAACTGATGTTTACTGTTCATTTTTTAGAAATATCAATAGCATTTGTATTAAAACTATATTCACTGAATGTAATCAAAAAATCGAGAATCGAATCGAGAGCTTGCGAATCAAAATCGAATCGAATCGGGACATCTGAATCGATACCCAGCACTAGTGATGGTGTTCGCTTTGATTGGGAGGTGGCTGAGCCTGGCCGATCCGTGACAGTAATATTGTGAAATGTGAAATATTATTATGATTTAAAATAACTGTTCTCTATCTGAAAATATTTTAAAATGCAATTTATTCCTGAGATGGCAAAGCTGAATGTTCAGCAACCACTACTGCAGTCTTCAGTGTCACATGATCCTTCAGAAATCATTCTAATATGCTGATTTTGGGGCTCAAGAAACATTTCTTATTATTATCAATGTTGAAAACAGTTGTGCTGCCTAATAATTTTATATCACATTTCAGGATTTTTTGATGAATTTTTGTAAGATTCTAATGTTTTTTACCGTCACTTTTGATCAATTTAATGTGTCCTTGCTGAATAAAAGTATTCATTTCTTTCAAAAGAAAAAATAAATCTCATTGACACATGAGATGATGACTCCAGTTAATTCAGTGACCTGTTTTATTTTACATGGCCATTTCGAGATCTCATATCCAAAGACTTGTGATCAGTCTTTGCAAAACCCATTATTTTAAATATTGAGGGGATGTGCCTCCCTCGATATCTACGTGGTCATGCATGCATGTGACTTCCTCTCTCAGAGAGTCACAAAGACCAGCAGTAACTATTAAAATCTTTTATCTTTTAATCTTTCACTCTGTGCTTGTTAATCCTAACTGCAGTCTATTTGACAGGCATGCTTGTCCTTGGTAGACCTCTCCATGAGACCGAGTTTTCATGTTGGCTTTAGGTCAGACGTGCCTAAAACAGATTTTAAATTAGTTAATTTTATACATATTTTAATACTTCTGTTAAAAGTTTCATTTGAAGGAATGAAACAATAGAATTACATTGATGTCTTATTGATAATTTATGGTGCAAATAATGTCCCCACATATAGTTATGAAAAACAGAGGTAAATCAGTTGGTCATTGCATTTTTTAAAAAAGTCTAATATCTGAACCAGTGCCACTAGCAACTTTCTTTGTTATAATAAGGACTTTTTTCTACACTTAATTTGCAATTTGTAATGACCTTCTGTGAAACTTCATACTGAATCTGTGTAAAGACCCATCAGTGTGTTTATTAAGTGTAGGCAAGTGATACTTTTTAGAAAAAAAATCACAACATTGAGAATGTTGTGATTTAGATTTGCATATGTAATGAATGTGTAGGTGTCCTTGGCTAAAGATAATCCTCATATCTCTTGCAAAAACACAAAAAGGGAAAGGAGGTAGTGAGTGAGAGAAAGAGAGAGAAGAAGAGATGAGAATTGTGTTTGTAATTATGAAACACCTCTGTGATTGTGCTGAATGCACGGCATGGCAAAATGAATCATTAAACTGGGCGTGATAATGCAGGAGTGAGGAGCTTCTAGGTAGAGAGTTGACCTAACGCATCTGTGTGCTGTGGAAATCTAGATCAAGAATACAAAAGAACATGCAAATATCCCCAGAACTTCTACAGAATATGTCAGAAATCTTTTAAAATCTCTTTTTTCACCATGTGATGTATTTCATCTTTTGTGTGCATTTTGAATTATCGCATCAGAATCGAGAGATGGAAACGCTGAATTTCAAATAAAAATGCCTTCATTCGCAAAAAAACGTTTTTACGCTTGCTTGAGGTGGTTTTTGACTTGTGCAAAAAAGGGTTAATGCGAATAATGGGAGATGGAAATGCATTTTGCGAATAAATTCCTCCAAGCGCATCAAAAAAGCCATGTGACTTTGCGCTATGGGACGGCAAATCCTGCTAACCAGTGGACCGACCTTGTTCCACAGCATCTGAAATGTTGTTATATGGTCATTCGGAAATGCCAGAGCAAAGTCTGTCATCAAAGTATTTCTGTATAATTGCCTCCCAGAACTGTTAAATGACTGCGTTCCCAAACAGCAGCATCCACCTCCGAAAACAATAACCGCATTCATTGTGTTTCGTCTGCTGGTTCTGAGGTGCAAGTCATTTATTATATAGGAAAATTATTATATTCAGTAGCTTCTTAGTGATGTATAGTGCCAGTTTATCAGGAAGTGATGATTTTGTTCTCTTTGACTCGTTGGATGGAAACGGTGCTTGTTCGCAAATGTTTTAATCGAAATATTCAAATTTTGCGCACAAGTTAAATTTGCAACTTTGGATGGAAACCCGGCTATTGATATAAGATGTTTGTATACATCCTTCAGTAATCAGAACAGCTTCAGTTAATCCTGTCAGTGTTTTGGTGTTCATTCTGGTTATTATTTTGATTATTATCAATTTTGTAAATATTAACTTTAATATTAATAAATTTTAATCTTAAATATTAAACTTAGTTTTTTATGTTTTATTTTTAATTTAGTTGCACACATGAACAATATTTTCAATTTAATAACCTGCAGTTGTGATAGTGGCTTGGAAAACTCCTTGTAGATGATAAAACTTTACCTTTAAAATTTCTAAATAGAAGCTCCTAATGTCTCCAAACAGCACATTTTTGAATATTATAAGATAGGTCAAACACTGTGGCACTTCAAAGAGCTCTTTTTTTCTGTCTTACTTTCACTTCTGAGTATCACACTGACTGTGGTGTCGTTCCCTCAGAGTGCCTTTTTGCCCTGTTTTTAATGATACACTCCACATCTCTTAGAATCTGCCCTCGCCATTAACCCTGAGACACTTTTTGACCCTCACACTGTCTAAGGACCCATTAGACGGGACTGGTCGAGGGGTACATTGATGGATGCTGCTTCTGTCCCTATTGCCTGCATACATTTTCTGCTCCCACACACGCAAATGTCTAAAAATGAAAGGAGGTCATTACTGAGGGGCTCAGGAAACTTTATTATAGAAAACCTCTACTGGCACAGATAATGTTAATCATATGACACTGTCCCATGTGTCTCAAATGTCCAGCAATCTTGAATGTCAGACACATTGCATGAATACACATTCTAATGTAATGGCACAAAACAGGATTTATTTTGAAATTAAAAGGTCAGATACTAACATAAAGTCAGAGTACATTTCAATGCTTGCAACAGAACTGATATAGAGTAATTCTGAATATAAAGAGTTGCTGCAACTTCTAGAAGGTGCTAACATATTGCTTTTTGTTTGTTTTTTTCCCCTCTTTGTGAATGTCTCGCATATAGATCTGGCAGTCTTGCGAGTTTCACTGACAGACTGTGAAAATGCATTTGCATTCTATTATTTTTTTCGTCTTGGGTTAGTTAGATAAAATAAGCTGATGTTTTGGGTCTCTAGGTCTTTATTGTTCTTGTTTCATGTCTCTCTCTCTCTTTTTCTCTGTCAGCTCCAGTGATTGTCACTGCTGGACTTTTTATATTTATCTGCTGGAGATCAATAAGACAGCTCCTGTGGTGGTCTTTTCTGTTGGGCCAAACAAATAATTGTTTGCTTGGCTGTAAAAACATCACTTTAAATGCCATATTTCATCCACACTTCAGTGGTAAGCATTATAGCTGGTTGATTGCGCTGAAGAAGACAGACCCTTTGTAAATAGGCCCATGTGTGTGGGCTGCCTCTACTCAGAGGTGAAGTTTTTAAGCAAAGCTGAAACTGTTTTATCGTTGTTTGAGCTTGACAAGTATGTATCTGATCTTACATGCATAACCAAAAAGTTTTGCTGCTAGCCTGCAGCAGATGTTCTCTGATGGCCTGGGCGCTTACACAAAGTGATTTTACTTGATATTTTATTGTTCAGTTAAAAGGTTACCAGTGTTATTTTAGTATTAGTTATAAACTATTAGAGTATTCATTAAAGCTACACTATGTAACCTTTTGCCCATTAGATGTTAAAAAATACATTTGCATGCTTCTTAAGAAAGAACGTTGTTTTGGTTGTGAAGAATGTCTGCTATTCCCAGTGAAATCTGTCTCAACTGCTCTGAAGTATAAATAATTATTTTAGGTGTATAAGTGTATAGGTGTATTTGGGTAAAATAAAGGTATGGTTTGGAAGATGGATTTTCGTTTTTTTGCACTCTATTTTTCAATACTCTCAAATCTGAATTCTCAGCACTACAGTCTTCAGTGTCACATGATCCTTCAGAAAACATTTTTTTTTTTTTCACTTTTAGTATTAGTAATTTTGGTATTTCCACTTTATTATTTATTTCAGTTATCCTGTACTAATTGATCTAAAATTGATCTAAATCTTCTCTCTCTAGCTCAGAACTGTTCAGGTCATCGTACATGTGGTCAGTGCCTGGAACATCCTGACTGTGGTTGGTGCGGAGACCCTACAGACACAGGTCAGGGTCAGTGTATTGAGGGATCATACCGTGGACCAATGAGGAGCCTGAGCAGACATAGCCGAGAGAGGGTATTGGACACTAGTATCTGTTCAAGGGAAAAGGGCTATGACTGGGCCTACATAACCTGCCCAGGTAAACATAAAAACACACATGCTTAAACCTGTAAATTATGTTGTGTGTGAAAACAGTCCAATCAAATGAACACACACTCCTCTCACTGTATGTTTCAGCATGCCAATGTAACGGGCACAGTACGTGTGTTAATGGCAGTGTATGTGAGCAGTGCAAAAATCTCACAACTGGGCCGCAGTGCCAGATCTGTCTACCTGGTTACTATGGAGACCCCACAAATGGAGGGAAATGCCAAGGTGAGATATACTGTATGTACAAGCGTGTGTCTGTCTGTTTGTGTGCTTGTTTGTATCTGCGTTTGAAAATCAGAGTATGACTCTTGAAGGAATAGTTTGTGCACCCAAAAAGGAAGGTTTTTTGCTCATCTGCTCACTCTTTCAAACATGCATGGTTTAGGGTGTACTCACACTAGGCGTTTTGAACCGTGCCCGAGTGCGTTTGACCCCCAAAGCCCGGTTCGTTTGATTAGTATGAGCGCACCGTGCCGCGCTCGGGCGCGGTTCGTTTAGTCGGCCCTGGCCCGGTTGGAAGAGGTGGGCCAGGGCACGGTTCGGTTGGGCTCGGGTTCGGTACGCATGCAATGTGAGCGCTAACCGTGCCGGAGCACGGAACAGATACTATTTTGTGTGCGCTACTGTCATCATTACGACCGCAAACATATTCTATTTCTACTACTACACTACACTTTTCAATTTATACTTTTTAATTGAAGTATATTTAGGTTTATAATGGCTCTGGTTCTTACCTTATTGATGAACAGGAAATGTAGTTTGCAAGTAAAGCTGCAGGTTATTTCATTAATGTCAGCTGCCTCCATAATAATTTTCTGATACATATAAGTGAAAATCAATACACGGCATAAATTATAAATTAATTATTAGTAATTATATTAGCGAAAGTGGTTTTCTCCGTTATTTCATAGATGACGTAAGCGTGCTCTGGCCCGTAATGTTTATTGGAAGTGTGAGTGCAGGCCAGCGGGGGAGTGGGGATAATCGCGCTCGGGCTCGGTTCAAGGCAACCGTGCCTACTGTGAGTACACCCTTAGTCTCTATGGAGCAACATACATTTAGCAGAATATCCAGATGTTGTTTTCCATACAATGAAAGTGAATAATAAATATGGCTGCCAAGCTACAATCAAAACAGAAGCCACAGAAGGAGTCCATTTGAACGTGCCATACATTCCAAATATTTAAATGACAGCTTGCTGTGAAGAACAAAGCAAAATTTAAATGCAAAAGTGACATTTTCCTGATATGTACCATTCTTTTGTTCCGTTTCTGTTTTACTGACTGACTAGAGCGAAGTTAATACTTAAAATTTTGTATAAATGTATGCATGCATGGAAGGACTTGACTGACCAACATATTGCCACTATATTTTTTATTTGAATGCCATTCCATTTTGTTTCAGATTAATTTAACCCCTAGTTCTTACATACAGTATATCGTCATGACAGGGAGTGTGAATTCTGTCCAAATTTGAGACGGTGCAAGGCAAGCTAATGAGTGAGTCTTTCCAGTTTAGCCTGGGCAACCTGCTAAATAACTCCTTTTCCATGGAAGAGAAAAAAATCATATTGGTTTGGAAAGGTTTGAGGTGTGAGTAGAGGATGTGAGAACTTTCATTACTTGTTAAACTACGACTTTAAGGTGTACATGTGGCCACACACTATTTCAAACTGAAATCGATGCAGTAGTTAATTCATAAACAGTCTGCATGCATCCAGATGTACCAGAGGATATCCCAGTGTCCCAATCTAATTTTGTTGTAATGGTTAGTGTGGCCATATTTCATTCCAAGTGCAGTATTCAACCTGACGCAAATTGTATTGATTTGATGTGCGCTCCTCGTGTTAGTTCTTCACTGTGGCTTTTCTCCCGGTTTCCAATCACTGAGTTTATATACAAGCTTCATCACTCTTAGAGATGAAACTGCAGCGAGAGCGAGAGAAAGGCAGCAAAGAGGCGCAAGGAAGGTGGTGTAATAACATCATTCTCTGTCGGACAGATGTGCGTTTTCTCCACATTCTGTGACATTAAATCACTCTTAATCATTTTCTTATTTCCTGGACTTGACTGCCGCCCCACCTCCTCGTCTATACAAGCAGTCCAGCGCTCACAGCGGAGATTTGATCGATGTGCGGCCCTCCACATCTATCAAGGATACACGCTCTCCTCTCCATTTCTCCTCCCTGTTGAATACCTCCGTGATTAAGTGTGCTTTACTGACTGCGTCTTGGTGTAAATGCGCACATGTGTTTAATGCTTGGATTGTGGCTGCCGCTTTTACAGCAGTGTCATTTTTCAGAGTTAGTGAATGGAGGAGATTTACCTCACCTCGTACACTAATACGTTTAAACCACTGATCTGTGTTAGATTAGATGAGGAGAGATGGAGAGCAGCCCACTGTGTGGAGAGCGGGGAAGGCTGGATGGATATCTCTCACCGAGTGTGTGCGTGTGTTGTCTGAAGGAGAAAAGAGACAGGCCCTCAAAGTAAGATCAGGGTAAAATATGACACGTGGCCGGCTGCCCTTGACGAGAGAGAAAAAACAGTCTGTGGAAGATGGAGGACATGTGTCCTTTTGAAATGGCCCACTTAGTTAAAGGACAACAGAGGGCAGACAGAGTCCTGGGATTTTGTGTATGTACAGTATGTGTGTTTATTTATTTGTTTGAGTGATGTAGTTTGGAATTCATGCTTTTCAACTGAGAGCTGTGACCTGCTGAGGTCTGTCTTTTGTGCATGTACATACTTGTATGTGTGTGGGCTTGTTAAGAGTAATTTTATACCATGGTAATGGTATGTAGCACAATAAAATGGTTTATATACTGTATATATATATATATATATATATATATATATATATATTTAA